AAGAGAGAGATGGTCATAAATTTGCTGAAGAAGTTTTTTTTTTTCCTTTCAAATGTGTAAACATATATAAATATGTAATAAATGGTTTATAACACAGTGGCGTCATAATCAGTTCTAAGTGTTTGAAGGAGAAATGATATAATAACATGAATACTGAAAGTTCTTTCACATCGTAGATTCTTTAAAATAAATCTGGCAGTAATAATAATTAAATCTACAATCTGACTGATAACTGTCGATCAGTTCTGATCAATCAGACTCAAACAGTGTTCTTTATTCAGTCATTAATGTTTAATATTACAGAGAGAAATTGATTACTGCTGACCAGTTTGGGCAAGTTAGTCAAAAAATTTCATTTATTACTCTTCAGAAGTAATAATACTTTGCCTATTATTCCCTGCTAACAGTAATTAGTTACACTACTGGTTATATTACTTTGCTGCTCTCCATAAAATTAGTAATCGGGTCGTTTTTCTCCCCAAAATTCAGAATGACGACTAAAATCCAGTTGTTTGTTAAAATCAAAATAATGTATTTTTCAAACAAAAGTAAAGTTGTATTTACTTTTTAGGTAGTAACTAATATTACTCATATTTATTAGTAATTACTAGTAATGCCTTACTTCCTAACTGTCCATATTAAACTAATAGTGCTAAATAAAAATAATAATAATAATAATAATAAAAAAAACACTTCAGTCCAACATTTTGTTCTGGTATTTTGTTTATTAATGATTCCATTTTTAGTAAGAACTTGGTACAAAAAAGTGAGACTACTCTTTAATCATTTACCAACTTCCATCGATCAACTTTTTAATGCATCATAAAGAAGAAAAAACTACATTGGCATATTTAAGACAAACACTTTCCTATACACACTATCCACTGGACAGTCCCCTTATCAATGACAAAGAAAAAACTTCTACTTCAAACAGCCAACAGACATTTTTCATTTCCATCTAAAACGTGTCGTCGCCTCTTCATGGCAAAAATAAAACATCGAACGTTGCAAGCTAGAAGTCAGAATGCAGAACTGGCAAACAATAGAAAACCTCCAATGTTCAGTTTTCTTTTTTTTTTTTGCTCGTTGATAAAAGAATATAAAAATGTTCTAACTTTTTTTTTTTCTTATTTGTTCAAATGTTGTGTCGTGTATTAAAATAGATCTGTTTAAGCACTGCACAGTTTCTCCCGGAGAAGATTTCTAGAAACGGATGAAGAGGTTTTTTTGGGGGATGGAGGGGTTGAGTGGTGGTGGTTGGGGGGGGCGCTGATATGGTTTCCATCTGGAGTCTCGTCACAGTCCTGCAGCTCTCAGGTGAGGACTCGATATGCATCACATGGTACATTCTCTGTACTGATGATGATTCTTTCTTAAAGGCAAGTCGGTACAATGTTAATGCATATCTGCTGTTTGTGACGGAGCCTGGACGCCGCCGCCGCTGCTGCCGGGGTCGATCTACGTAACTCTGTCTTATTACACTTATTGTTTATTTTAAAATCCATCTGCAGTTTCAGTTTAAGCATATCGCTGTCCGTATCACGTTATAATGTAATAACTTATATTGTTACGTGTCGTACTGACGTAAACATTTTATTGTTTTTAATAAGATATTTTCATGTTATTACGGCACTAACGTACAAACTACAACTCATGTTGTAACAATTTAAATTATCAAGTTATAACAAATGTTAATGTGAAAATATCTAGTTTTAATTTTCACATTATTACGACTTCTTATAATGTGAAACGTTTCATGTTGTAACATAACTTATAATGTAAAACATTACAATAACGTTTATATAAAGTTATAACAAAAGTTTGTTTGTCATAGAAACTTGAAAATATTGGTTAAAGAGGTTTTCATGTTATTACGACATACAAACTTCTTATGTGATAATTTGTTATAATGACATAATATAAGTTATCGCGATACAATAACACGTTTCACGTTATATTAAGATTAATTTTAGATATTGTTATAACAGTATATATTAGAAGAAGTTTGTCGTTCTAACAGGATACTGATCTCTCTTTTTTTCTGACGTGGCAGAAATAAACTAGAATTTTTAGGTTGTATTAATTATTATGTAAGTGGAAGCAGCCAGCCTCGCCTGAAATAAAGACCACCACTGCTAACATCATAAAGAATGAAACACTTTAATTACATACAATCTAATCAAGAGACGCTATTTTACGCAGCTAATTCAGTATTAAACACTAACTGCTGCTAAGTGACAGATGGTATGAGGTGTGTCAGGGAGGTCGGTGGCTGACCGCCTCGGGTTGTTTAACCTCCAAAATAAAACTGAAGTAAACTCATAAATATATATTTAGATCCTTTGATTCAAATTATTCTACCAATTAAAAGTCTTGAATTCAAAATGTTAGAACTAAAATTACTCAAGTATTTATAGTAATATTTATATTTATTGATGTTATTACACATGTATGATGTGAATATTGACAGATTATTAATTGGTTAAAGCTAATTTTAACTAATTTAAACAGTGTATCATATTAAAAGTTTAAATCTGTAAAATATCAAGTATATTACTACAGTAAAGTTATTTTTCACCACTGAGTGAATCCAAAAGATGAAGATTTTAATGTAAAAAGTGTAATAATTTAATATAATCAGATGTGGTCTTTATTTGAGGCGAGGCCGTCTGCCTCCACCAAATCAGTAAAAAGGCTGCAGCAGTGATTTGAGGGAACAAATTAAAGATCAGTTCCCTCCACAGACGCCTCCAGGCTCCGTCTTCTGATAAAGCGCATTTTAAATCCAACGTGTGCATTGTGGCTCCGAGCGTTCAGCGACAGCGGGAACTTTGTACTGCGAGCGAATCTGGCTCACCTCGTAAAGCTGAACGTTACAGTCGTCTCTGAGCCCGACTGTTAGGTAGCTCAGGTCTGTGAATCTTTGCATCCAAAGTATTTACAGACAAACAAACATTGGCTGGTTTCTTTGTCATAAATTATTTAGTAAACCGAACAGTTTCTAACAATTTGCAGACTTTCTCATCTTGGAACTTTGTATTTGCACTGATTTATTAACATCGACCTGATCAGCTCAGATATTAGAGAAATAATCTTCCAGCACAAACAGACTCATCATTATTATCTCTGATGTTTCCGTCCTTATAAAGATCCTCTGGATGAAGGTTCACAGACTCGAGGCCTCAGTGTGTTTCAAACAGGAACTCGTTTATTCGTCGCTCTTCACGTGAACACGATTGTCTGCAAGGAGACAATCTGAAAAGGTTTTATCCGCATTAATACGATTCGGGCCATCGAGACACAAAAGACTGGTAGAACGTGTTCGTTTGAGGCTCACTGAGGCTTTTAGTTTTGATGTCGTATTGCTCGTCTTGTTCGCTGCCTCTGAAGCCGCGGCTGCACCGGTATATTTAATATTTTGTGCCGTACAGACGATGCTTCTCCGACGTTCAGGATCCGTTCAGTATCTTTGATACTCGCGAGACCAAACAGGTGACCTGGATATGATTCAAATAAAATAAAACCACCTCTTCGCAGTTCTAACTTCACAAATTCACTCGTTTTTCTTCTGATAAAAGGCATCATTTTCTCTGAATTTGTTCACGTTTGTGCATTAACAGGTCGCAGAGAGCTGCACCTCGACTGTGTGGTGAGTACAGTATGATAAAGAAATAAAAAAAATGGACTAAATCTAACACTTAAACTGAACCTTTCTGGACCAGCAGGAAGACTAGCGAGACAAGTGGAGCGAGGAGGACGAGACGGCGACGTCCCGGTTCGAGTCTGAACCAGGAGGACGCCGTCTTCCTCCTCGTTGCCACCGACAGTCAAAGAGAGTTGTTGCAGTTTGACGAGTTGTCCCATTTTCTGATTGACTGGTGTCTATAAAACGACGCAACAAAGACGAAAACCCTGGATTTGAAACGATTTGTACTTGAGGCAGTGTTCATCTGTCAGACTAACAGGCTCGTCACCGTTAAAACGCTCATAAAACACGAGTAAAAAAAAGCCAAAATATAAAATAGGCAGGGAGAAAACAAAGCACTATAGACATTATTGATAGATGATCCCAGTACAAAAACAAAGAAAACAGTTTTTGGCATATTTTCTATACTGGTTAAAGGGGAAAGGGGCTGAATGGATGCATCGCACATCGACTGAACTCCTTCGACGTGTTTGTGTTTGAGTGCAGCTGTGAAAGAAACAACACTTCCTCCCTGTTTCTCTCCCACTGTTTGTTTCAGGAACTTTACTGACGGTTCTTTCACTTTTATCTGAAGATGCAGAAACAAAAACGACGTCAAATCTGTT